CCCCTTCTACTGCAAAGAACTGGGTAAGAAGAAGGAGATGGCAGGTTTGGAGACTACACATAAGGTTGATTTGGATAAGCCAAAGGAGACTAAAATAACCCCTGGGAAGGCTGGAGCTAGGGACAGTGTACCTCCTGGGAATAATCCACATGTTGAACCTGTAGGTGGTCTAATTCCTTCTTCTTCTTACAATAAGGAGAAGGCTAAAGAATCCATTCCAAAACAGGAGGCCTGGCTGTTGACAGTATGGTTGGAAAGGGTGCTGATTTGCAAAAGAAGAAGAGGATTGAAGATGGATACATGGTTGGGAAGAGACTAGAGAAGAAGAAAGGTTGTAAGGGCAATGCCCCCCCTCCTCCATGAAGGTCCTTTGCTGGAATATTAGAGGACTTTCTAGGTCCTCTAAGCAGAAATTTTTGTGTAAATATCTTTTGGAACTTGGTGTCCATTTTGCATGCCTGTTGGAGACTAAGATCACAGGAGCCAAGTTGGAAAATTTTGTGATTACCAAACTGCATGGGTGGAGATTTACCACCAATTTTGAAGTTTTGCCTGGAAGTCGTATGGTAATCTTGTGGAACCCTTCCTTTTTTGCCTGTAATGTTGTGGGAGTGGGTGAGCAATATCTTCACTGTGCAGTCCATTGCCTCACAACACAAAAGGAGTTTGTCCTATCCTTCATTTATGGCCTGTACACTATTACCAAAAGAAGGGAGTTGTGGGATGACTTGTCTTCTTTAGCACAGAATATTTCCATACCCTAGGCTTTGCTTGGGGATTTTAACTGTGTTTTGGCTAGCAATGAGAGGGTGAACTGTATGAGCCAGGGAGCATACTATATGACTGATCTGCAAGGCTTCAAGTCTTCTAACTGCTTAGAAGATGTTCCTTCTACTGGAAATTTCTTCACTTGGCATAAAGGGAACAAGCTTGCTAAACTGGATAGAGTCCTTGCTAACCAATCCTGGGGAGACATTGGTTTGGCCCCAACTTGTGAATTCTTGGATTTCAACTTCCTATCTGACCACTGCCCCACCCTTTTCCAGTGTGGTGCATCCCTTGGCAACAGGTCCAGGCCTTTCAGATTCTTCAATATGTGGCTAAAGCATGAGAGTAAAACTGGGTTGGTCTCCCAGTTTTGAGAGGCAGGTGTGGTTGGCTCTAAGCAATTCTCCTTATATTCCAAGCTTAAACGCCTGAAACCTTCCTTATAATCCCTCAATAAGCAGGCTTTTGGTCATATTTCTAGAAGAGCTTTGGAAGCTAAAGAGGAGTATGGATTAGTGATGAAGCAGGTGGTCCTGGATCCTAATAATCAAACCCTTCTTGATGATGCTGATATTAAAAGGAAGAGAGCTAACTTCCTCCTTGATGTTGAATTGGCCTTCTTTCAACAGAAAGTCAAATGTGACTTATGAATTCTGATAGGTGCACTAGTTACTTCCACTCCATTGTTAAGAAGAACAGAAGGAAAAACACTGTTGGGTTCTTGGTTAGAGAGGATGGATCTAAAACTACTTCTATGAATGAGGTGGCTAGTATCTTTGTGGACTACTTTACTACATTGTTTGGCACTACTTCATCAGTGGAACCCATTGAGCTGGAGAGTTTGATTGCTGGAACCAGAGTGCCTTCTTCTGCACAGTCCACTCTCCTTGCTTCTGTTACACCTGAGGAGGTGAGGGAGGCAGTTTTTGACATTGGTAATGACAAGGCCCCAGGCCCTGATGGCTATACTGCAGCTTTCTTCAAGGATCAGTGGGCTACTGTGGGTTGGGACATCTTTGAAGCTGTGTTGGAATTCTTCACTTCAGGGAAATTATTGAGACAAATAAATCATGCTATGATTTTTCTCATTCCTAAATCTTCCCATAACCCTACTGTTATAGACTTTAGGCCTATTGCCTGCCTCAATGTTTTTTACAAAGTCATCACTAAGATTTTGTCTAAGCGTATGGCTCCTTTTCTCCCTGATTTGATTGACCCTGCGCAAGGGGCCTTTGTCCCTGGGAGATCTCTTGTGGACAATTTCCTCCTAGCTCAACACCTTATCAGGGATTATGCTGTCAAGAGGTCTACACCTAGCAGCTTGATTAAATTGGATATCACCAAGGCCTATGATACTGTCTCTTGGAGCTTTTTGCAAGATGTGATGCATGGTTTGGGCTTTCCCCCTAGATTTGTCTCTCTTATCATGGAGTGTGTTTCCTCTGCTTCTTCATCTATTATGGTTAATGGAGACAGTCATGGCTTCTTTCCTAGTCAGCGTGGGCTTAGACAAGGGGATCCAATGGCCCCTACCCTCTTCCTCTTTTGTATTGAGTACTTCTCTAGATTACTCAACAAAAGGGCTAAAGTAGGTGGCTTTAACTATCACAAGGATTGTGCAGCACTTGGGATTACGCACTTGGCTTTTGCTGATGATCTTATGTTGTTCTCTAGAGGGGACTCCCATTCTGTGCAGGTTTTAATGGATGCTTTGGACCATTTTTCAAGGGTGTCTGGCCTAACCCTTAATCCTACTAAGTCCAACATCTTCCTTTCTGGTAAATACACGGATGTTAGCCAAAATATTCTGGATCTTGCCCCCTTTCCTCGCGGTCAGCTTCCTGTTAGATATCTGGGTCTCCCTTTGGCCTCTCAAAGGATCTCTGAGAGTGATTTTGCCCCTTTGTTCAAAACTGTTGATGGTTTTCTATCTAAATGGAGCACTTTGAAGTTATCCTATGCTGGCAGACTGGAACTGATTAGAGCAGTGGTACAGGGAGTCCAATCCTTTTGGCTCCTGGCCTTTCCTGTCCAGAAATATGTGCTTGACCGTATCATCTCCATGTGTAGAGACTTCCTTTGGGGCAGCAAACTTGCCAAGGTTGCATGGGTTGATATTTGCAAGCCACGGGAGGAAGGTGGATTGGGTCTGAAGGACGCCAATACCTGGAATAATGCTCTGTTGTGCAAACTTCTGTGGAACCTGGCAGCTAAGAATGACACCCTTTGGGTCAAATGGGTTCACAATGTTTACATTCAGGGTGAGAACCTGTGGCAGTGGCAGCCCATGAAGAGACACTCTGACTTCTTCAAAAGGCTTGCCTATGTGCGTGACCTTTTTGTTCAAAAGCTTGGTGACCTTCATCCTTCTATGGAAGAGGCTATGAACCCCTTTTTGCTTGGCAGGTAACCTTATTCCAAGAAAGGTTTATGATTTGTTTAGGGCTAAAGCCAACCCGAAGCTTTGGATGGCTTTCATTTGGCAAAGCTATATTCCTCCTAAGTGCTCCTTTACGTTGTGGCTGGCACTTAGGAGGAGGCTGCCCACCAAAACAAACTTGGAATTTCTCGGTTTGCCTATGGACTGCACCTTTTGTGGACATGGGTTGGAAGATGTGGACCACCTGTTCTTTAGCTACCAGTTCTCTAAAGAAGTTTGGGACAGTATCAAGACTTGGCTAGGTATGGAAGGACACCTGAGTACCCTTACCAGAACCATCAGATGGCTAAAGGCTTTTAGGTGAGGGGATGGGATCCTCAAGAAGGCGAGAAGGATTGCTTTTGCTTGTACTGTTTTCCACCTCTAGAAGCTACGTAATGCTGCTCACTTTGAGCGTGAACCTCTCTCCATTCAGGTTGTGACTTCTAAAATCAAGGTTATGGTTTATTCTATCCTAGGGAGACTATGGCCCTTGTACTCTGTAACCTTTTGATGATTGTTTAGCTTTTGCTTTTGGTGTGTCTGCCTTGGTTTGTTTGTTGCCTTATGAATTGGTTTGTGGACATTTGGTGATGTTGTTACTTGTTCTTTATGGATTTGGAAACTGCCATTTCCATGCTCGGGTATGCCTGTTCTAGTTGTACATTCTTTTTCTTTATTCTATTTACATTTTATCATTGAAAGAACCTGATAACATAGAATCTTGAAAGAGCTCTCAATAATTTTGGCCGAGACTTCTCTCTGGCGACGTTGTGCTACAGTAGCCCGTCACCATTGCCATCGTTTCTTGAGCTTCATCTCTTGGTGCCTCACCTTTTTGAGTGTAGAGTCTTGTTCCCATCTCCTGGGCGACCATTTCTACTGACGGAATTGCTCAGCCACGCCCTTGTCCGTGTAGGGTGTGCGTTGACCTCTACGGCTCACTGTTCAGTGTGTTCCCCGATGCTTCTTGCGTAGCATTTCTGAGTTGCTTCTGCTCCCATGGGTTCTGGCAAAGCCCAGAGTGCTAAGAAGACTAAGAAGAAGCTCCCTAGGAGCCCAAAGAAGAAAGGGACTGGAGATGATGTTATGGAGATTCCTAGTCTGAATACGGATATTGCCATGGAGCTACCTGAGAAGGAGAAGGCCCCAACTGCGTCTTCAACGTCTGAGACATCCCCCCCACATGTTGAAGACGACCCAGATACAGGTGCTCAAGTGGGGATAACCTATGCGCAAGAGACCGCCCAGGTGTTTGACAAAATGCCTGAACCAGACATGGTTGCTGCCAAACCTGTTACGTTTGCTGACCTCTTCAAGGGCAATAGGGATCCTGACCAAGGTATGATTCTGAAGCAATATGATGTTGGTGAAGGTGTTCTACATATCCCGGATTCCATTATCAAACCTGTTGAAGAGCTGTGGGGTTTTTGCCTTGTGGGCTGCTTTACTGGACGCTTCCCTGGCCTCAAGGCAGTGGATGCTATTGTCAAAAGCTGGAATGTACCTTGTCGAATCATCCCCCATTGTAAGGGTTGGGTTATCCTGAAGTTTGAGAATGATAGTGATAGAATGGATGTGCTGGGTAGGGAAAGGGACAAAGCTTATGGCAAGGAACTTAGACTCAAAATCACTTCCCATGGTTTCATGTTTGATTTTGCTGAATTCACCACTCTACCTATCTGGGTTCAGCTACATAATGTTCCATTGCAGCTTTAGTCTGAAGAAGGAATTGGTATGCTGGCCTCAAAAGCGGGACGGCCTCTGAGAAGTGACCTGGTTACTAAGCAGCAAGGCAAGGGTGGATTCTGTAGAGTACTTGTTGAGGTTGACTTCTCAAAACAGCCTGCGACCCACTTTGAGGTAGCTTGTATGGGTAAGACTTACACACAACTTGTGGTGTTTGAGGAAGACCCTAAATACTGCTTTCATTGCAAAACCTGGAATCATTGCCCCTTCTACTGCAAAGAACTGGGTAAGAAGAAGGAGATGGCAGGTTTGGAGACTACACATAAGGTGGATTTGGATAAGCCAAAGGAGACTAAAATAACCCCTGGGAAGGCTGGAGCTAGGGACAGTGTACCTCCTGGGAATAATCCACATGTTGAACCTGTAGGTGGTCTAATTCCTTCTTCTTCTTACAATAACCTCTTCCGATTTCTTAGGTAAGGTTTTGTCCTCCGGACCGACAACTGTCATACCAACCTTTCCCACGACTTTTGCAAAAGAAGAAGAGGATTGAAGATGGATACATGGTTGGGAAGAGACTAGAGAAGAAGAAAGGTTGTAAGGGCAATGCCCCCCCTCCTCCATGAAGGTCCTTTGCTGGAATATTAGAGGACTTTCAAGGTCCTCTAAGCAGAAATTTTTGTGTAAATACCTTTTGGAACTTGGTGTCCATTTTGCATGCCTGTTGGAGACTAAGAGCACAGGAGCCAAGTTGGAAAATTTTGTGATTACCAAACTGCCTGGGTGGAGATTTGCCACCAATTTTGAAGTTTTGCCTCGCAGTTGTATGGTAATCTTGTGGAACCCTTCCTTTTTTGCTTGTAATGTTTTGGGAGTGGGTGAGCAATATCTTCACTGTGCAGTCCATTGCCTCACAACACAAAAGGAGTTTGTCCTATCCTTCATCTATGGCATGTACACTGTTACCAAAAGAAGGGAGTTGTGGCATGACTTGTCTTCTTTAGCACAGAATATCTCCATACCTTGGGCTCTGCTTGGGGACTTTAACTGTGTTTTGGCTAGTAATGAGAGGGTGAACTGTATGAGCCAGGGAGCATACTATATGTCTGATCTGCAAGGCTTCATGTCTTCTAACTGCTTAGAAGATGTTCCTTCTACTGGAAATTTCTTCACTTGGCATAAAGGGAACAAACTTGCTAAACTGGATAGAGTCCTTGCTAACCAATCCTGGGGAGACATTGGTTTGGCCCCAACTTGTGAATTCTTGGATTTCAACTTCCTATATGACCACTGCCCCACCCTCTTCCAGTGTGGTGCACCCTTTTGCAACAGGTTCAGACCTTTCAGATTCTTCAATATGTGGCTAAAGCATGAGAGCTTCAATGGGTTGGTCTCCCAGTCTTGGGAGGCAGGTGTGGTTGGCTCTAAGCAATTCTCCTTTTGCTCCAAGCTTAAACGCCTCAAACCTCCCTTAAAATCCCTCAAGAAGCAGGCCTTTGGTCATATATCTAGAAGAGCAATGGAAGCTAGGGACGAGTATGGATTAGTGATGAAGCAGGTGGTCGTGGACCCTAATAATCAAACCCTTCTTGATGATGCTGACATTATAAGGAAGAGAGCTAACTTCCTCCTTGATGCTGAATTGGCCTTCTATCAACAGAAAGCAAAATGTGATTTTCTTATGAATTCTGATAGATGCACCAGTTACTTCCACTCCATTGTTAAGAAGAACAGAAGGAAAAACACTGTTGGGTTCTTGGTTAGAGAGGATGGATCTAAAACTACTTCTAAGAATGAGGTGGCTAGTATCTTTGTGGACTACTTTACTACACTGTTTGGCACTACTTCATTAGTTGAACCCTTTGAGCTGGAGATTTTGACTGCTGGAACCAGAGTGCCTTCTTCTGCCCAATCCACTCTCCTTGCTTCTGTTACACCTGAGGAGGTGAGGGAGGCAGTTTTTGACATTGGTAATGACAAGGCTCCTGGCCCTGATGGCTATACTGCAGCTTTCTTCAAGGATCAGTGGGCTACTATGGGTAGGGACATCTATGAAGCTGTGTTGGAATTCTTCACATCAGGGAAATTACTGAGACAAATAAATCATGCTATGATTGTTCTCATTCCTAAATCATCCCATAATCCAACTGTTAAAGATTTTAGGCCTATTGCCTGCCTCAATGTTCTTTACAAAGTCATCACCAAGATCGTGTCTAAGCGTATGGCTCCTCTGCTCCCTTATTTGATTGACCCTGCACAAGGGGCCTTTGTCCCAGGGAGATCTCTTGTGGACAATTTCCTCCTAGCTCAACACCTTATCAGGGACTATGCTGTCAAGAGGTCCACACCTAGCTGTTTGATCAAATTGGATATCACCAAGGCCTATGATACTGTCTCTTGGAGTTTTTTGCAGGATGTAATGCATGGTTTGGGCTTTCCCCCTAAATTTGTCTCTCTTATCATGGAGTGTGTTTCCTCTGCTTCTTCATCTATTATGGTTAATGGAGATAGTCATGGTTTCTTTCCTAGTCAGCGTGGGCTTAGAAAAGGGGACCCCATGGCTCCTACCCTCTTCCTCTTTTGTATTGAGTACTTCTCTAGGTTACTCAACAAAAGGGCTAAAGAAGGGGGCTTTAACTATCACAAGGTCTGTGCAACGCTTGGGATTACGCACTTGGCTTTTGCTGATGATCTTATGTTGTTCTCTAGAGGGGATTTCCATTTTGTGCAGCTTTTAATGGATGTTTTGGACCACTTTTCAAGGGTTTCTTGCCTAACCCTTAATCCTACTAAGTCCAACATCTTCCTTGCTGGTAAATACAGGGATGTTAGCCAAAATATTCTGGATCTTGCCTCCTTTCCTCATGGTCAGCTTCCTGTTAGATATCTGGGTCTCCCTTTGGCTTCTCAAAGGATCTCTGAGAGTGATTTTGCCCCTTTGTTTAAAACTGTTGATGGTTTTCTGTCTAAATGGAGCACTTTGAAGTTATCCTATGCTCGTAGACTGGAACTGATTAGAGCAGTGGTACAGGGAGTCCAATCCTTCTTGCATCAAGCCTTCCCTGTCCAGAAATATGTGCTTGATCGTATCACCTCCATGTGTAGAGAATTCCTTTGGGGCAGCAAACTTGCCAAGGTTGCTTGGGTTGATATTTGCAAGCCAAAGGTGGAAGGTGGATTGGGTTTGAAGGATGCCAATACATGGAACAATGCTCTGTTGTGCAAACTTCTGTGGAACCTGGAAGCAAAGATGGACGCCCTTTGGGTCAAATGGGTTCACAATGTTTACATTCAGGGTGAGAACCTGTGGCAGTGGCAACCCAAGAAGAGACACTCTGTCTTCTTCAAAAGGCTTGCCTATGTGCGTGACCTTCTGGTCCAAAAGCTTGGTGACCACTATCCGTCTATGGAAGAGGCTATGAATCCTTTTTGCTTGGCAGGTAACCTTATTCCAAGAAAGGTTTATGATTTGTTTAGGGCCAAAGCCAACCCGAAGCCTTGGATGGGTTTCATTTAGCAAAGCTATATCCCTCCCAAGTGTTCCTTTACGATGTGGCTGGCAATTAGGAGGAGGCTGCCCGTCAAAATAAACTTGGAATTCCTCGGTTTACCTATGGACTGCACCTTCTGTGGACATGGGTTGGAAGATGTGGACCACCTGTTCTTTAGCTGCCAGTTCCCTAAAGAAGTTTGGGACAATGTCAAGACTTGGCTACGTATGGAAGGACACCTGAGTACCCTCACCAGAGCCATCAGATGGCTGAAGGCATTTAGGCGAGGGGATGGGATCCTCAAGAAGGCGAGAAGGATTGCTTTTGCTTGCACTATTTTCCACCTCTGGAAGCTACGTAATGTTGCCCACTTTGAGCGTGAACCTCTCTCCATTCAGGTTGTGACTTCTAAAATCAAGGTTATGGTTTATTCTATCCTAGGGAGGCTGTGGCCTTTGTACTCTGTAACCTTTTGATGTTTGTTTGGCTTTTGTTCTTGGCGTGTGTGCCTTGTTTTGTTTGTTGTCTTGTGGATTGGTTTGTGGACATTTGGTGATGGTATTACTTGTCTTTATGGATTTGGAAACTGCCATTTCCAAGCTCGGGTATGCCCGTTCTAATTGTACATTCTTATTCTTTTTCTATTTACATTTTATCGTTGAAAGAGCCTGATAACTGTGCAGCGATTAATGGTACTAGACAGTTTAGACTCTGCAAAAAACTGAAGTTGCTGAAACATCCTCTCAAACAGTTGAACAACAAGGACTTTGCACATATCTCTTCCAGGGCTGAGGAGGCTAGAAAGTCCTATACTGATCTCATGGATAAGCTTTACAAGGACCCTGATAACTTGGAGCTACTCTAGCTTGTTGCCAATACCAGGAAGAAAGCCTCTTTCTACTCCGATGCAGAAAGATCCTTTTTTCAACAAAAGGTGAAGTGTAACTTTATTAATGAATGGGATAAATGCACAAAATTCTTCCATGCAATGGTGAAGAAGCAAAGTGTGTTGAATAACATCCCTGTTTTGATTACATCCCAAGGTACTACTACTACTTCTTTGGAGGCTATTGTTGAGGAATTCATTGGCTACTACAGGCAGATTTTTGGTAATACAGTACCTACTACCCTAGTGGATTGGAATGTCTTTAAAGAGGGGCCCCTGATCCAACACCAGGATGCAACT